TTTCATTCCAGCGAGCTTTTCTTCACGTCGATGCGTCCAGGATGATCTAGTTGTGTATAGAATGCTGAAATCCTGGTTGTAATTTCGCTGCGAAGTAGAGCAACAAAAATTGCAGATGTGCTTACTAGGTACATCCTGGTTACCCGAGGTTCAATAACCTCTTCTGTTGATTGTTTCAACGAGACGTAGATTTCTTCAAGTCTATGAGCGTGAGACAGACTAACATCTTGCACACTGTGATCGTTCAAGCTGGATTCCCTTCAGAACATTGCTTGCTCACATCGCTGTCCCTTTATCTTCTGCGAATCATACTGAGGATGACAAAAGGTTTGAAGAGTACACAGAGCAGGCAGAATGGGCGATAATTGACAATGTTGTCCAATGCTCCATTGAACAGCAGCGCAGTCCTGCTGATCTTCCATAGGCTGAGCACTTCTCATTGCGACGAAGTAGCTCGTGAAGGGTCGAGTCAGGGAGGATGACGTGAAAAGGCGACAAATTCTGCAACTGTTTGGGTCTCTTCGGGCCTGCTTTCGCAGTTTCCAATTCGCTAATACTGAAAAAGGGGCGTGGTAGTGAGGAGCTTTGAATGTGGGCTTGTTTCACCATCCGCAAGTTTCGACCACTCTCCTCGTAGGGCCTACAGCTCTGGCTTTTCCAGAGACACGCTTTAAAAAAGCTTTTGACTTCGCCAGAAAGAGAATGGCCTATTTTTGTCTATATGTAAGATTTGCAAGGAGTTCTTGCAAGCTGGAATTTCTAAAGAAAGAGTCTATAAAAAACGGCTTCCGTACTAGAAGAAGACTTGAACGTATAGGGGAGCGTGATGTCTCCTACAAGGTATGGCCTTTGAGAACAATGAACGCCGTATTTACGTTTGAGAGCTAAAGTCCCCCTCTAGGGACCCCTACGGACCGATTTTTTTGCAAAAAAATTATTCAAGCGGTTTCAGAGCACTCAGGCACTCCGGACCTCTCTGTGATACGGCCCGGCTTTGCGGGGCGTGGCTCCATCGCGCCTACCTACATTCGTATGATCAAATGCTCGACTAATACCCGGCTTTTCTCTCATCTGTCCACTTGATCAACGCTCCTTACCACCACTCCATACACCGTAATAGTGTTGAAAATAGCAGGTATGATGCTATTGGTTCAAAGAAGTTGACCATCTGTTCACATAAAAGAAAAGCCGGATACTAGCTGGGTATTGAAATGTGTGGAAAAAGGCAAGCGCGGCGGTTCTGACCCGCCTGGCGAAGCCGCGAATATTTCTGAAGCGCGCCGGCGAATCCGGCTGGTAATGTATATTTCACCACAAGTAGTTTCACCTTCCCTGGTAAGTAAGTCAAAGGCGAAGACCTCGAATGTTTGGCCCATACGGGAGTCACTCGGAACACTCCCGCTCTCGATTGAGATTTTTCATTCTTCCAGAATATGCTCTTTATGTATTGCTAGAAATTCTGCAACAAATTAGAGGGGAAGCTGAAAGTGAAAGCAACGCACCGCATCCCATTTGCTCTGACTTGCTTTTGTAAAGTCGGCAATTACTACAACTGATAAATCATCTCCAGTGCCAAGACCAGAAATTGTTACGGCAGCCTTAAATAATGCACAGGTTTCATCACAAGCGAGAATTCTTCTCATTTGATGTGAAGGAAACTATTTGATCATTGCTTGGATGACACGGAGCTGAAACTGCATCCTTGCAGAGTATAAAGACAGAAG